CCGACGGATTATTTATATGTTGTTCTTACTGAAGACAGGTTATGTGGTTATGTTAAAAGTTATAAATTACGATTTTTCCCGTTTGTTTGTGTTTGGTTGGTAAAACATTACGGGATATCGCGACCGCACCCGCGTTGTGGGCAAATAAGACACATTACAAAAAAATTAGAAATGACGCATCACGCATCATTTTCGCGGTGCCTCAAATCTAAGCGCTGATTTGTATTTTCTATTGACATCGCAAAATAAATATATAAAATATAAAATTTAAATGACTGGAAATGAAAAATAATGTAATTACCTTTCTACTATCATAAATATTTCTGTATCTAGCATATTTTCGTAACCTGTTAATTCACTAAGTAGGGACTTTCTTTTGTAACCTCTCTCATTTTTTAAATTCAGCAAATTTGTATATGTAATTTCCAGAATGAGAAAAGTGGATGCGCAACTAATTTCTAGCTTTGAATCTCAAGTAAGTGTATTTGAGACAAGAAGCTAATAGAGTTATCATCAACACATATTATTAGCACCCAAATCCTCACTATGCACCTATGCATTGCCATTTCCTTCCAGCTATAGTATACAACGTACAGCTCAGACCTCCAATAATGCCATCTCTGAAGCAGATGTTACATCACATCAGAGCCAAACATTGATAACTGAAGCATCATGACGTTTAGGCAACACGTAAAACTACAAAACGAGACCACAACAAGAGTCCAAGCTAAGATAACATTTTGTTGAAAAGACTTCGTTATGTCACATAAAAGGTACGTTGTCAAAGAAAACCGACAATATGTTACTTTTCAACATACGTGGTACCCGTGCGTCAGCAACATTGCAATTCTGTCATATATACATGGTCGCCCAAACTTGCACGGTATACAAACTTTTCAAAATCTTTGCGTAGTCATCCAACACCATCCCTGTGTAAATACTTTTAAAAAATTCAGGATAATACAGTGTATTTGACTAATAACAAATTCATTATTGTTATAGTATGCCGTTTTCGGTCTTCTTCAAATCCGACTTGCAAACAAACAACTGTTTACCTACACGATGTCAGCTGCATACCAATACGCATCGTATCCTTTGACCAAAATATTCCTGGAGGCAGGTCTGAATTCTTTTTATACAGGTATGGCAGATTTTTAAGAACCTAATATCTCATTTTAAATCATGTGTTACTGAGAAAAATAACAACAACGATAAGCTTCGTCAACGAGAGTCACAAATTTTAGAACACCCTGTATTCTACTTTTTTTATCCATAACTTTTCGCGATCCTTCCATTTCCCTGCTTTTACTTGGTATGTAAGAATCATTCATACAAACTACTGATTTAAAATGTATTCCAGTGTTTGCTTTTTGTTCTTTGTTCCAATTACTGTACAGTAATTTGTCCCTCGCTGAATTCTAGATGATTTTAGGACAGAACTCTAGCACTTGGTGCTCAGCTCGTAGATTTAATTTGACACTACAGTTAGGAAGTACTCCACTCTCTGGTATAGCAATTAAATTATAAAAGAATTTCCACTGTAATTGCTCTTGGTTTCCTATTATAAACAGAACTTCACGAAAAAACGATTAACGCGGCTTAGCTCCAAGAGCTGACGACATAGCCTTCGTTTTTTTCTTTTTTCGACGAAAAAATTGCGAAGGATCCTAGAAGGCAGGAATTACTCCCGGTGCTATGAATCGCAAGGCTTAGATTACAAATTGCAATTTTTTCTAAAAAAAAAATCATGAGAGTTAGATGTCACCTTATTTGTACAATATTTTTGCTATTTACTTGTACTCATGAATTTGATCAATACTTCCGTAGCACTACTCAACTTTTTACTATTTTGCTATTTTTTAAACGTGTCAAGTTAGGAAGCTGGAGTTCGGAATAAAGAAATTTACCCGTGAATACTTTTAACGTAAGAATAATAGTTGGAAATTTCAAGATGTCGGCTGGCCGCTCTCTTGCATTATTTTTTTAAACTGATTGAGAAGTCGTATGAATGCTTGTTTTGTGTTCCCGTATGAGTATTTTATATCCCTCAAACGTAAAATCTCTATCTTTCACAATGGTGGTCTGGGTACCTGTCAAAGCTGAGCGTTTTTGTATATTGAATCACTTATAACTCGACAACTTATCATCCAAACCATTGATTCCCAAAGTGGTCTATATCGACCCCTAGGGGTCTATGACAACCTGCAAGGGGTCTACGTCAGCGAAATCAAATTTGGGGGTCCATGAAATGAATATGGGGGTCCACGATAGTGTATCTCAACACATACACTGATAGTACCTATTTACTTACATCATACTATCTTATAATATCAAAACATATACATTATTTATAAAAGTACCTATGAAGTAAAATATATGTTTATAAAATTGTGTAAGTTGTAGGATGTTGGTATTCGCTTTGTGGTCGCAATACATTTTGAACTTGTAAAAACCTGAGAGTTGCAGTCTCAGAGCTTCGCTACCTTGCACTGACATGTTCAATTCGTCACTCTATAAATACGAATGTGGGACAAATACGTTTATTCGCTTCCTGAATCTTGAAAAGGAAAGTGCTAAGAAAATATTTTAAAAAATATAAACAGATAGTATATCACGCAAATTATAGTGAGTCAGTGTTATTTTGTTTGAGAGTGCTGGAGAAAAGTAAGTACATTATTTTTTATTAAATTTTAGTTTTGTACTCGTAGTTAGCAAAGATAGATAAATTACGCCAATCATGACTTTAGTTATTAGTAGTTAAATATTCAATCATGCAAAATTACACGAGTACTCCTCAATAGTTTCTTTTTGAAAGTTTTAGCAATCGGTAATATAATTACAGTGCAATCTCCGTAATTGCAATTGTTGCAAGAAGATGTTCGAATTATGGAATGTTTTCGGAAAAATCAAAAAATATTTTTAATATACAGCTGCTGGATTTTCTGTCTTTTTAGATAACTTAAACGTATAAGAAACGGAATTTAATCAAACTGACAGTGAAATTATTGTAGAACATACGTTTGTGTTATAATCAATAAACGAACTCGCTTATTGTTCTATTTTAAGTAAAAAACTTTTTTTTTATTATTTTTCACTTTTTTTTTATTTTATCCCTCTTATTTTTTTTCAATGCGGGCACTTATTCCCAATGCGGGCACTTATTGGTCAGACACCTGTTTATTTAATGTTACGTATACTTTACATAACAGATACAAAATTTTATTTTGAGTAGTTTTAATTTAAATTCAATTAATAAATGTATAAATTAACATGTGTTTTTACTTTAAGTTTTTAACACTAAACTTCACTACATTTAGAAATTTACAGGAAATCAATATCAGGTAAGTAGGGGGTCTACCCAACACGGAAAAATATGGGAAGGGGTCTATTTCACAAAAAAGTTTGGGGAACTCTGATCTAAACGTTAGTTACATCAATTTTTTTTTCATTTGGGGGTTCTATCTAAGTGTACAGTAAAATATGATCAAACCAATTTGAAAAAAAGTTGACAGATTTTTGACAGTTTTTTCAAAGTAATGTTTCACAGTTTATTATGTATTCGGGTAGACTTTTTAGAAAATAAGATCGATATGGATACTATATCATTTTGATGATCGGTTGTTGAGTTATAAGCGACTCTACATACAAACGGCTCAAGTTTTACAACGTGTCAGATCGTCATTTTCAATGATGGTGGTTATATTTTACGATTATATAGTACCTATAAGTAGCTTCAAAATGAAATACACACGACCTTCCATTCTATTTAAAAAAGTCTTACAAAATGGCGTCCAGCTGCCCTCTTAAAATGCTACGTTTACGCTAAAATATAGTATTCATGCATCAATTGATAAAGCTCTGCATAAACATTTGATTTATAAACTCGAGCATTTTGGTGTATGAAGTTAGCTTTTAGATTGGATAGAGGCATTTCTTACTGACAGAACCTTTCAAGTAACAGCAAATGGGGTTATAAGTGACCCACATTCAGTACTGAGTGGTGTCCCACAAGGCTCTGTACTTGGACCTCTTCTATTCCTTGTTTACACGTCAGATCTGTCAGTGAATATAAGAACTGACATTCCAATCTATGCAGGATAGCAAGCTATTCGGGAACTCTGTATTACCAGAGATCGGATTTAAAAAAGACATACTCGACTTGGAGGAGTGGTCTAAGAAATGGCAAATGTCACTCAACGCAGAAAAGTGCACGATATTGATATGGAAAATATACAGAACCAGAAAGACCTACGAGTTACAATAGCACAAAATTTAAAAACGGAAACCTCACTTTACCTACAAAATTAAAAAAGTCAACTCAATAATATCTTTATTTACAAATTTGTTAAAAATCAACCTTCTGCTATGACATTAGAAAAAGAAAGAACATCTAAGTCGATAAGAAGAAATTTCGTTTTAAATTGGGTAGAACTCTTCAAGTGAAGAAATAGAGAATGCAACAACCAAGGGCGTACCGAGCTCAAAACGGAAGGGGGGCACCTTGGAAAAAATGTTGGTGTAAATTCCACAAATTATATCCACTTAATCACGCTTGATATTTTTTTTATTATTTGCATTCCATTGTTTTATCCATTTATATAGTCTTCCACAATAATTTCACAATCCATATGGATATGGAAAACTACTAGGCTCAGTTTTTTGAAACATTCAAGCAAATATTGCACGAGATGCTTTTTTAAGTAATAATTTAGTCGTTTGCAATACTTAAAAAGAAACATTTGAGATAATATATGGCAAATGTTTGCTATACTGCAAATTTTATATACCTATTCTTTGCGCCTACATATCCCTCAAAATTCAAAACAGGAGCTCATCTTTTCAGTCAAGTCAATACGACAGGGAGCTACTGTAATCGCGAAAAAGCTTCAAATGGAAGAGTAATAATGTTCAGATATAACAACAAGTAGGTGCATTTTTTATGGAGTTCGTCAGGTGATCCTTGGCTGATTTTTGTTAATCGGTCCTGCTGCTATAGGGTAATCGTCAAAAGAAACTAATTTAATCATTGGTCCTTCTACACCTGCAGGCAGCAGCGGTGGCCGCAGTAGTAGACTCTTCGGTCGCCGTGCACTGTGCGGGTTCGAGTCCCGTCCCAGGAGAAATTTTTCTCTTGGCTATGGATGTTGTGATTATCCGTAGGTGGTAGACGGTCTCTGACTGTCGAACGCGGAGGTACCACCCGGCGGATCTCGTAGGCGGAGCCAGAATGTGTGCATGTTGCATGCACACGTGTTCCCTCGCCAGAGTCCGTGTGGCGTTCCCCCTTTCCCATGTATCCCCCTATAGCCCCACGGTACCCAATGGGTGCTTAGGCCTTAGGCCTTCGTGGTAGTTGAAGTATAAAAAAAACCTTGTAGAGTATCACTGGATTTTGAAAAAATGTTGAATGGTCTGGTTAGGATTATGACCAAAAGGTCTATAACTCCCCCAACCTTGACTTCTATCTTTTTTTTTCGTTTCTGATGATTTTGAACGAAATCAAAAACTTTTTGGAGAAGACAAAATTTAAAAAGAAGTCAAGTTTTGTTTGATATATTTTAAAACGTAGTCAATAGTTCATTTGAAGGATTCAAAAATTGTAAAACCCGGTAAAACTTGTATTTCAAATTCTAATCATCCAGTCACTTTTGCAAAACTTATTTGATCAGGTTAACTAGCCAAATGTGAACAATCTTTCAAAAGACATTGTACAGAAAGATTTATATATTCTTTAGAGCGGATGATAAGGCACCTCATCTCCAAATAAGAAATCTGGATAATTTTTTTATCAAACGTTAAAGTTATTAGTCTATCGAACAATTGGGATAGAGATGAAAACACCTTCAAAATGAGAACTAATGGGTATCTCTAGTTCGTTATAACAATCAATTGGTTATTGCAAAGAATCGTTCATTTTTTTTTCGAAAAAGTGCATAATATGAGTAATCATGAAATAGTAGCCAAAAGTTAAGTCCTTCGTAGTGATTAACATGAAACAAGTTCAAAAACGTTCAAACTATCCAGCGGCAAAACTGCTGCAACAAATTATACATATATACATATTTTTTGTATATAATTGGGCAATATCTCCATTACTATACAACAATCAAAAATATTATTTACAAAAATTGCTGACTATACGCTTCCCTACAGGGTGGTTCATAGCGACAGGACAACAGAAACATTTTTTTTAAATGCAACATCGTAAATCTTTTAGTATATCCCATGCCACTTTAAAGGAAGACGTTTCGATATAGCATATTATACTAATTCCGGAAATAATGTCTTTTTGTAGATATGCATTCGTTACATCGAAATCCACTGATGGTATGGACCACAGTAAATACTCATCGTGTGACATTCCCTTCACCGTTTGCGAGATCCTAAAGGCGAGGTTCGAATTTGAAACACACGTAACATATATGTATAGTGCTTTACCAAAATTAAGTTTATATCTAACATAGATTTCAATTAGTCCTAGTAATTTCTCATCTAATAGATATTGATGCAGCTTGTAGAGAACCCTGACATGAATAATTTAATTTGTGTGAAAAATGTACTCTCCATTTAATTTTTGATGAGCTAGGAAAAAGCCCCGCCGCTGGATACGTTCTTGCCAACAACTGTCAATTCATTGAAGAATAAGCTTTATAAGGAAGTAGAAGACAGAGCAGCACGTTTCGAGCATTATTCAACATTGTCATCGGACTCTTCCACCTACTCTTATAGTGCTGATAATAATAACAATAATCAATTAAGCTGGTAGTAGTCATACTCAACTATTAAATATTAAAAATATCAATAATGATTTCAAAATATGATGTGACTACCTTGTATGTCATACTTTACATACTAGATATATTTCTGGCTAGATTTCAATCTTTCTCCGCAATACTATTGAATATATATGAAAGTAGTAGTATCATTATATTCACGTCAACTTCGGAGTTTCTCATATTGCATTCTATACGTGATACTTTTGAATATCATTCAGGAACGGAACCTATTATGGCTATTTCTGCTCCAACGCAGGTGGTTTCAATTACTGGCAATGCCGAAAATATACCATTGTATCTTCTATATATTCACACCTTGACCGAATATAGACGTAATATCTTTATACACTCGCGAAATGTAGTCTAGGAGGTACATCCCATTTTTGCAATTTCGCATTTTGGATCTGTTGACCTTTGGCCATGAAATTTACAATAAAAATGTTATACTAACACTGTACAGTTTCATCACTCGCCGAATCAATTTTCTCTTCAAGGTAATAGTAATAATATCTTGAGTATCACATGAGCACACAGGGACCTAGCCCAGAAGGTTGGTGGGAGGAACCCGATTTCGCTGTGGCCTGCTGTAACGGGCCAAAATCACGTAACCTCTTTTTTTACTATTTTGATCACTTACCAGTAATTTGAATTTCTCCTCATTATCCTTTTCAATGATTTTCTCTTCGCAAATTTCATAGTATATTGATTGTATGGTTTAACACGTATTGTATCTTTCTTTCTTAGCGACTCAGTATTGTGTTGAACCCTAATGTCATAATATATTTTAATGACTATCTCAGAAATTTGCTCGGAAAATATCGTTGGTCCCTCGTAGAGTTGGTTTTCTAGGGTCCACGCATTAGCAATCAGCACCACTCTGTGGTTTTTCTCCGTACTAACCCATATAAGAATATTTTTTATTCTATGAAACATATCTTCAAGTCCACTCATTTAACTTTCTTTTATAAGGTTAGGTGTTGGGTGTGAGTCACTTCCCTGTTGAATCCTAGTTTATATGGTGCGTGTCTTGTCCGTTTGATTTCCAGATTTTGACAGATTTGGCCCTAATCGCCAGCTTATGGAGTAGCACGCTTTCTTGTGCCTACCATTCGTTCAATTGTTTTGGACTTTAACATTCAGCGTTGGAAGGCATTGAAGAGAACCACCATTCACACTCCTCCAGCTTTGTAGCTGCCATGTAGCTGTTTTGCAACCGATTTTACTGGGAGCCACCCCTTTCCCTTGAAAAAAAAGCCCTGATGTGAACAGGTTTTTTTATACCGTAAATTTTGAAAACGAGGCAAGCAGCCCCTACCTTGTGCCGTTCCTCACATCACTCACTGCCCACTACTGGCCGATGGTTTTTGATCTGAGCGTTTGTGCGCTGAGGACATCTCGGCTGCGCCTAGAATCGTAACTGGAAGAAGAACACTATCCAGATAAGTTTAGTTTTAGGCGCTAAAATATTTGTAAAGTACGTGTACCTTCACGGTCTAATAATTTTATTGTTCGGCAGTTTTGAATAATTTTTAATTTGCTCCAATTGTGAAGCAAACGTGTTGTTTGAACAGTTAATAGATTGTATTTTTTTTTAATATCTGGTTTGATTTGGCTCTCTGTGCATAATTAATTAGGTTACGTCATTGCTGTTAGATTATTTTCTTTTGTGTGGGTGGTCAAGCGAAACAAGTAATATCTCGGGGATTTGTGGCTTAATCCGTCTTAAGTCACTGGCACTCTTAACCCCCCTAATTTACGCTTTATTGAGGTAGGGCCTAAATTTGCACGCCAGTAGTCAGCTGTTTTGCATTGGCTGACCCTAGAATAGCGAGTGTACCAGATTCCCTCAGATAGCTTAAGACGGTCCTGACTATATAATATCTGAATCAAATCATCTTGTAATGAAAGCATGTTACAACTCTCCTTAAATATTCTATAACATTCAATATTCGCAAAAAAACTACAAATGGATCAGTATTTCTAAAATCAAGTAGAAAGTAGTTACACCTATTATGTTTTTTTGATTTTACATGACATATAGCTACATCAAGAAGAACCACGTAATATTTTCCGTCGATCAGTCCGCCGGTTATCCGATAAATCATTTGCCCTTCTATAACTCGGAATGTACTGCTGACATTTGGATGAAATTTTGACGCAAGATCACTACCAGTTTAAAAACATAAAAGTCTTGAAAATCGGTTCAGACTCATTGAAGGTGCGAGTGGAAAGGAATCATTTTTGCAGACTCTCAAACTTCGTCGATGTTTTTACTTCCCTCATCTATTGTAATCGCGAAAAATTTCGAAAACGAAATATGATGTTTTTTTGATGTTGTATGACATAATCCCTAGCCCCTCCAAATATTTGAAAGACCGCGTGAATTTGGATGAAATTTTTACACAGGATTATTACTGTGCCAATAGCGAAAAAGCTTTACAGTTTTTGAAAATCAGTCCTGTGGAGGCGGAGAAAAAAGCCAAAAACAAAAAAAACAAAAACCGTACAAACTTTACAAACTCCATTCTTTTACATTTCAGAGGATCCTGATCATTTCCGGAAAAAATTGTATAGTGGTTAAAAATTGGGTGTTATAGGTTGCAGGGGTCATGGAGGGTATATATCCATTTCTTGACGTTGGTATATTTAAACTCCTCAAACCCCAGTAGTTCTACGCAATTATCATCATAACACTGTACCTTTGCCCTTAAAACAGAAATCTCTACACCAGTCGCGTGTCGATACCTGCGACGTGGTCCGGTCGATGCATGAGCGTCGTACTTCACAGTAAGCAATCGCTTCCGCACTGCGGCACTGCTGTGTGACCGAAGACACCATTTGTCAGTAACTATAACCACACTTTTCTGTTATAAAGTTTTCTCAAAAGTTTTGTACGCCGGGAGATACTGCTTCAAAAATGATCTGCAAAAAAACACATAAAAGTAAACATTTAAAGCAGCATTTAAAGCAAACCACGTCAAATCATTTTAATGACATTGGCAGAAGGAATACGCATGCGTGAAAATCAGTTAAAAAAGGGTCCCGGCAGTAAAGCAAGAACAGCTTGAATGATTCTCGACCCATCCTAGAACTGAACCAGGATATAACTTGAATACCAAATTTCAGTTCTAAAACGGTCCGACAGTAATTCAACAGAAACCCTAAAACGTCGGTTTCTTTTGCCGATGCTCCTGATACTTCTAGAACAGTTATGATATCCATAGAAACCTAATATCGCTATCCAGGCGGGACTGATAATCGTAACGATCATGTGCGCCCTCAAGAATTTCTCTCAGGAGGAGGTAGCTAACTTTCTTCTCAGAAGGGCTAATAATAATAATAACTTGTCCGAAACACACACGTAGAGTCAACTTACTTGAAACCATTTTTTAGTATCTGATCACCTTTAGACGTAGAAAAAAAGGGGGGTCAAGTAGTGATAAAAAAAACCGGATCTGCGATTTTTCACGTTTTCCAACTGTTCGATCACATTTCTTTTTTATTTTTTTATTTTTTTTTTTTTTTAGTGAGGGGGGAATGCGTTTATGCACCATACCATAGC